GTCTATTCACTTTATTTGCCACAACATCTAATACTACTATTGATCATCATCATCATCATTACAGCCCTTCGCAAGTCCACTACTGCATATAGACCTACTCTAAGGAACGCCACAAAGCACGGTACGAGTCACCTGCATCCATCGACTTCCTGCATGTCTTACCAGGTCGTCAATCCATCTAGTATTGATATTTCAGGTTATATCTGTCAGTGATAGTCTACTTATTCTATCTTAAATACGTAATGTTACTACATTTACGACTTGTCACTGGGGTTGCTATAGGTATATTGTGTTTGATTAAAATGTTTCTACCAATTTTAAGACTGTTTTTGTGGCGTACCGTACATTGGCGTTGTAGAAATATCGACTACGCATATCTACCTGTGGGTCTTGTAAGAAACGACAAATCAGTAGATGGGCGGAAGCGTTTTCCTTATAACAACTAAAAAATTAAAACTACGGTTACCAGTATACAGTATAGAATCCGTTTGCCAACATGGCAACTATGGCAAATATCCCCCTATGACGAAATCTATGGGGTAGTCCTATGTTAATCAGTAAACTTTTGATAGGACGGTTTTATTAAATATTAAAGCACCCGTATTTGTCTAAAAATTAAATAAAACACTTTTAACTTTAATTTAAGGATCGAAAATTTTAACAATAATAACAATTTAAAGCTCACGAAAATATTTTTAGACACAATTAGACTTATTATTTAAAATAATTATATTTACTATTCCCCAATTAGTATTACTAGATTGAAACACAAAGTAGAATATTGTTTTGCAATAAAATAAAATATTTATTTTGAAATTAATGTTTTCAAGGTCCAATTGCTTTTATACCACAAAATAATAAGTCAATATTTCAAAAAGCATTCATCCGTTTTGGCAGCCATTTAATCTTTGTAAGTAGTAGAATTGGTTACGTTTCTGCTATGTGCTTAACAATTTCTTGTAAGCAATTAAATACAAGCTACAATAAAATAAAGTAGAGGACTAAAGTTTCAAATTATACTGTAAAACAAAAAAATGTCTTGATTCGACATTATACTAAGATTCGACGAGTGTTTGATAGTTAATCTGTCGCTTTAGATTATAGTTTTAGCTATATTCGTTGCTATTATACGAGCACTAATTACTTTTTTCAATAATTCACCGACCATAAGCTAAAACAGTTAATGTTAGATTACAGACTCAAATAATTGTTAATAGCGAGAGTAAAGTGAAATTTATATTTGATTAATTAACTAGAGATCCGCACTGGCATTGCCTGGCTAGGATCTGTTAAAAAAAAATCGAATAAAATATACTTTAGCTCCATTCTGGCGTTGCTCTCAGCTATTCCGAAGATTAGTCTGGACAGACAGACAATCAGACACACAAAATTTTTAAAAGTGGTTATTTATAATTTAATAGCATAAAAATAACCCGGTGAGCCTAACAGAAGCCATTTATTTCATTATTACAGACAGACACTTTAATTATATTTTTATGTATAGATAAAATAATTTATTTTACCTTAAATTCGAAAATTATGTAAAAATTTCAAATTTTAATATGCTCATTGAGATATGCAATGAATCACAAGATAACCCAAAACGTTTTTGAAAATAACATTAATAGAAATTACTGCGATTGATCAGAATATTTCTCTGTTGAATCCCGAACTTCCAGTTAATAATTTTTTTATAGAATAAAGATGACAAGCGAGCACAAAGTCCACCTGATGGTAAGTAGATGCTGTGGCCCATAGACATCTATGATAGGATGTTGTATCTTATTAGATATTGTCACTTCTGAATGAGTGTAAAAATAATTTACAAAAGAAAGAGCCTTAATACAAAAGCATATTGTTAATACTATTATCATAATTAAAAATTAAAAATTTTGTACAGCCGAATTCAATATAAGCGACTTCAATATAAGTTATTTAAGAATAACTCAATAACCATTGGTCTGACCTTGATCAAATTCATTTGGGACCACACGAGAACTATCAGCTTTCATATAAAAAAAGAATCATCGAAAAAGGTTCCCCCAGTACAAAGTTATGAGGTAACACACATAAAAAAAACATACACTTGAATTGAGTACCGTCTCCTTTCGGCAGTCGGCAGAAAATAGAATGAAAGTTAGTACATATTGTGGTAATATTTGCTGCAGCTATATTATAGTTGTAGCATGAACTGGCTGTAGGCTCAACTGAAGAAGAACCACGCTCTCACAAAATACCAGCGTAAAATAGCAGCTCAATACTGCTGTGTTTCGTATGGTGAATGTAAAGAATCGGAGACGCTTCATACAGAAACAAGGCATTCCATCTTAGTCCACAGGGGTGACACAGCATCAGAATTTTGATTCTTAATCGAGGATAAATGTATGTGTCTATGGACTACAACATTCACTTACTATCAGATGAACTGTGTGCTCGTTTGTTACCCTTATTCTATAAAAAAATGTAGAGTATAGAAAACCGGAGACATATTTTAGTGGAAACGACGCATTCAATTTTTTTTCCTCAGAGGTGACAACGCATCTGCATTTTGATTCTTAATCGAGGATAGATGTAAATGTCTATGGGCCGCAGCATCTACTTACCGTCAGGTGGACTGTGTGCTCGTTTGTAGCCCTAATTGTATAAAAAATTATGCAGAAAAAACATTGTGCGATATATGATATGCTCCAGTATTTTCATCAAAAACATTTACCAATAAAACAAAACCTTCAATTTGTATATATTCATATATATATATATATATATATATATATATATATATATATATATATATATATATATATATATATATTCAATGTGTACCTTAAATATCTTATATATATCTTTCATAAGAAGCTCACGAACAATTATTTATAGGACCTGAAAATACTAGATCCGTAAGGAAATCAAAATTGCGCCATCAAACCACAGACAAATGCTTAGCTAGTGACATTATATACATTCATATTAATTGATTTTTTAAATTATATCACAAAGAAATTTTGTTTTAAATTTTATTTTTTTATTTTCTAGTAATTGGCTGGGACATTTTTCTTATTCATAAACATATTCATTTAGTAGATTTGAATATAATTAGAAAAAATTAAAATTGTATTTGTTAACTTCATTAAAGTTAAACTTATTATAATTACAGTATATAAACAAATTATTTTAAAATAAAAGTTAACTACATATAAATTATAAAATTGAGGTTTTTGTCTGTAATCTATAAATTTAAATAAAATTGAAGTGCCTGTCTATAATAATGAAATAACTGGTTGATATTGAGCTGAGAGGGTTATGAGCATACCAATAAGACATAAATAACCATTTTTTAAAAATTATGTCCGTTTGTTTGTCGGGTAATTGTTGCCTGATTATGACTAAACTTAACGAACAGATAGAGAACAATGCCGGGAACGACTACGGCTATATTTTATCGGAAAAACTATTATAATTTAATTTTTAATCCGAATTATTTAAATTAATATATCCCATCCAGGCGTAGCTGGAGAGGGTTGCTTGTTTTAAGATAATTTCAATGAAATAAAAAAATAACTAAGTCTAATGGGAATGTAATAGCTCATTCTCCAAATGCCAACCTTTTCTGCACACGGTTTTGCCCTACTAAATTACAAACGAAGACGGATCCATCGCAGTATATAGACATCTCGAACATTTAACGCTGCTGCCCGTCGCCAGTCTTCGTATTTTACATCTGGCGTAAGATGAAATTATGACATAACGTCAGAGATGATTAGAAAGACGATGGTTATCTATTTGGAAATCATAATATTTTTCTGGAATTTTCCACAGTCGCCTCTTAAAAGACGTGTAATGATGGGGCCATTACACGTCTTTTCTAAATGAGGAACCCAGATACCACAGACTGGTCATGGGAAGCGGCATCGCAAATGCGGGGTCACCAACATTATTGCGCTCAGTAGCCGAGAGTTTAAGACAAACCCTTATATTATAGTAGGTAAATGATTCAATATGTCAGATTCTCAATAAGGCAAATATTCAGCAAAAAATTACGTTGTAGAGCCACGTAGCAATATCACGGCTACAACACGAATGGTATACAATGGTACAAAATTATCCGCCAAAGCTAGGCAGTGGTCTTCAAATCAAACTAATCTTTATGAAATTAAAGTTTATTGTTTCAAAAATTAGTACATGTTTGAGGACTTTTTTAAAGTGTAAAGATACTTGTGGTAGAAGGTCCTTAAATTTCAGTCATCTACAATTCGTTTTGCCATATTTGTAACAGGATAAAATGAATGTTGCATTTAAAAAATAAAACACTGGTGTATGATACTGATGCAATAACAAATATTGTGAACTAAACAAAAGTATTTAACTTTTTTTCAGTGTGAAGCTTAATTCACATGGGCAGCATAAGTTTTCAAAACTAAAAATTGTCTTGAATTTATATCTTTATAGATTTAAAATGCTTGTCTTCTTGTGCCTACTAACTCTTGTAGTACCTATGTATATTGTTGTAACATTATCCTTCCATCTTTATAATAATAAGAAATATGTAGGTAATTCGCGTCCGAATCGTATCGTTATACATATTAAGAAACATAATATACTTCTATTAATATTATCTAGGTATATCTACGCCATAAATTATATTCAGTATTGAAGTATGTTTTGATATATTAAGTTTGAAGAGATTTCTTTTTTTATTTGTGTTAACTTTATATAATTAACATAAGCAAAACCTAACAGTAATTTTCAATTTTATAATTCAGAGTTATTTAAATAACTTATTTTAATTTTTTCTATAAACTTCAAAATCTAAATGAGAATTACCTAATTAAACTTGTAAGTTAATTCCTTAGGTTAGTTTGAAATTATTCTGAACCTTTTATTAGAATAAATATTAATCTGATTGAATGATATCTACACTTTAGTGAGATTTGATGGTTACAAATCTCATTTTATTACTATGTGTATTGTATCTTATAGATTAACATGATAATAATACTAACCGTTCGGTGATATATTAAGCGATTGTGTGATGGCCGCGGGCACTGGGGGCGCCGGCTCCATTTTCCAGGGGGCGCAGCACGAAGCAGGCGAAAACTCAGGCGTAGGGCCGCTGCCCGCAGATATCAACATGGTAGAGTCCCGTCCACTGTCTCTGAACTAGTTGATCTAAGCATACGCAACGAACAGTCCACTTCAATACTGATATAGTACACGGTAACCAAGTCCCCAGTTAGTTCTTTTAATTTAACGCTTCAGCATAATTCAACATATGACGGACGGCACTCGTCTAGCACGCGCTCGCTCGAAGCTCAGCCAGAACACTGAAGAGCGCGCTTGCTGTGCTGGCGCGCCCACTCGCGCGCCTACTCCCATTAGCACGCCTTGGAAAAAATCACCGCCGTCGAACAATAACAAAAAACTACCTCCACTGTATCGAACCTCCATGCACCTCTCACTCTAACGTTCTTAATTCGATTTCCGAACGCGTCAAAACTACAGAGCGCTCGATTCATTTGTAGCCTTCCGTCCTGTTCCCGTATGTTAAGAAATTATTTGTATGCTTATTACTATAGTAGTTAAAGCTATTTTCTTTCGACTGTTTTAATACGCATATGACGTTTTACGTACGCATTAGTTTAGAACTACTCCTACTCACACTCGTTTGGTTCAGCTTAAGCTTGAACCGTATGAAAGGGACAGGTGCTCTACCGCCTGGTGGTAGAATTACGGTAGTGAGCACAGGTGATCTTTTATCGTTTCTTCGTAACGAAGGTGTTAATGTATATCTTTCTCCTTCTCACACATATAATGTACTGCGAAATTTTCGAGACGAGAACAGTATTGACTCTTTTCTTAATTAATCGCGCTTCTAGTTGATCATGCTTAGCATTCTAATAGTTGCTATAACGCTGTGCTCTATTCTAATTAAGTCGAATAGTAAAGACGTTATTTTAAACTCGATTACAGGTTCTATATTTATACTCGTATGTGTATGTGTGGTATGTTTTTCTTATTGATCCGTTATATATGAACAAGCAGAAGTTTATAAAACGCTCACATAATTAAAGGACAGAAAGAAAGGTAAAAGAATAAAGCTATAAAGTCTAGTCGTCATATGGCGTCATTCATATGCAATCTGTTGCAATAATCGCTAAGAATTAAATCGGAATTAGAGTCTACTTACGAATGGACTATTCTGTAAGGGTTGATACAAAGAAATAATTGCGAGAGCACTTGTGTTGCCTTTTTATTGGAAATACAATAGCGACGCTATCAGTGCTGGGTTTTTATTTATAATTACAGGGAAAAGGAATCGCCGGAAGGTCCCGGCCGAAATGCAACTGCCGTGCGTGGAAGTGGCTTTTCAATCGAGCCTTTGATCGTAAATATACTTTCATTGTAGTAGCTCTTTAATTTGTAACAATCTCGATCTTGTGGTTTCCGGTTACTTTAACAAAAAATATATATGTAATAAAACGTTAATGTTTCGTAAGTAAACAATTTATTGATTTAAGTTAGTTAATTGAATTTATTTTTTAAGGTTGTTTAAAAGATTTATTTAAAAAAAGGATTCATATAGGTCGATGTAATTTAAAAAAAAAACATATGGGGTTTTTCTTTATCTCTGCAATTCTTTTCTTGCTACACATTAATTGCCTGTTTATACACGATAACTCTGTGCCAGCGCAACTGTGAAAAGATACCTAACCGCGTGCTTGGGCAAGGCAGGATCTAATTCAGTCCGTTAATAGTCTATGACAGAGCACATATATCTCTTACTGTAGGCAATCTCTGAATGGGAGTCTAGCAATCTTGTGCGATTCATCGTCACCAAAACGAGCTTGCTTATTAACCACAAAAAGGCAGTCCACTCACCTTCGCCCCTACTTTCCAGGATATACTTTTCGAAAAAAAAATCAACAGTTTGCCATCGTTAAGGGTTTGACATGATTATTTTCAACCAAATAGATGTCACTAATAAGCTATCTTAACTCGGATTATATACTAAGCTTGATCAATTGATTACGCAACAACACCAGCCTATAGGTATTTAATAGCTGTGATTGTCTTACGATTGCGTTTTAACATAAAATGTAAAGAAAGAAGATCTCCCGCCGTGAACTAAGTAGTAAGTACCTACAATTAATCAGTTTATAGAGTTTTAAAAGTGGGCTAACAAAGGCACAGACCAGAGGTTAATAATAAGTAATGAAAGCAAAACCAAAAAAAAAATAGGTTTTTGAAGTTTATTCGAAATTCGAATATACAATTCTTTATTGTAAAAACTCAGTAGGGAGCGTGCAAAGGGGCGCAGTGTTAAGTATTTTGAGTGGAAAACTCATCGTCAAGTCTTACTCCACCGAACGCTCTCCACTGAGACCTGAGAGTAGAAATTTGTAAGGCATGCCGCGTGTCGTATATATTGTTATATATTAAGCGACCGTGTTGTTGAGAGCGTGAGCTTGTCGTGCACACCGAATGAACCAACCTGCTGCACGCTCGTCCCTGAGTTTTTACACAAGCTTGAGCAAGGCCACTTTTCGTTGTTGAGTTGCACGGTACACTTACGGCGTGATACGTAAAAAGTCTCTGACATGACACATCGTGCGATGCGACGCCGGAGCGGCAAAACAACCAACTTAACGCTTCCAGTGCCAGGTCATCTGATTTATTATCTACAAGGCGTTCTAGCGCCTAGTGCTGTATTGACCAAGCCGCCACATATACAATGTGTGGTTTCTCTTTAAGTACATTATAAAACTTAGTGTCTTAATTTAATTTTTTTCTTTATTAGCTCGTTCATGATCCATGCCATAGTAGTAAATAATTAAGACAACATTTAGTTTTATGCGACTAAGGCTAGTGTTATTGTTTTAGCAAGCAACGTTCACCTGTTATGTCAGATCTCATAAATTACTAATGAAACAACAAACATAACAACAACCAACTTCAAACACAAACAACTTCAATGAATGTACGAGTATTATCATTGCCAACTAAACAATGTACGATAATTTTACAAATATTTTTTCTCCGGCAGCAACGCGCCGGGTACCAGCTATATATAATGATATAGTTACATAAATTATAACTGCAGACAACTACAATTTATTGTGGACATGACGTGCTATTAAAAATACTATAACTTTAATTGCTTCTACACTTCTTTATTAATGGTCATAACTATTTCAGTTTTTTTCTGAAAAATCCTTTTAATGTCAAGGGAAATTATAAACAAAATAAAGCACTTTTTTACGAGCCATGCTGCAGCTATATTAATAGTATAGTTGTAGCACGAATGGGTCGGCTCGACCGGGGAGGGATCACGCTCTCACGGAATCCCAGCGTGAAATAGCAACTTAATGCTGCTGTGTTTCGAATGGTTAGTGTAGAGAACTGGGACCCTTTTTACTGGAAACGAGGCATTCCATCTTAGTCCTCAGGGGTGACAACGCATCTGCATTTTGATTCTTAATCGAAAATAAATGTAGATGTCTATGGGCCACAGCATCCACTTACTTTCAGGTGGACTGTGTGTTCGTTTGTCACCCTTATCCTATAAAAAAAGCAAGTCTAATTTTTTTTTCAAATCATATCTATTTCAGTAACTTATCCGATTTCTTTATTATCCTATCCTATAAACTTTTCACTGTTGTACTCCCCCTAGCGTAGGCATATAGTAGCTCAAATGCGTAGGCTCTAAATTTATCGCACTTTCAACTTTTGACGGTTAAAAATGTTTGTTCCGCCATCACTCTCAAGTCGCCGTAATAATTTCCATCTATCCTATATTTCTCACGTCGATCTATACATTCACTTTGGACGAGGGATGGGTTGATAGTTTAGTTTTTAACCAACTACGACACTACGTACTATTCAGAATGTAACTATGGAACTGGGATGTGTTTGAGACTCGGACTATTTATGGAGTAATGATAAGGATAAAAATAAATTACTTTAAGGTTTTTCTGTATATCTTTTACCTTATTAAAACAGGTCTTTTTTTAACAGTTTGAATATTTAAAAATTTTTATCTAAAATAATTTGTGATATTTTTATTAAATATTCGTGCACACACACACAAAAAGAAAGTAACAAAACAGACACACGAAGTCATTTTCACCTTTTTACATTTATATCGTTAAAATATTTAACTTAATGCAATATAGTCAGCTCTTATTGTAGTTATTTCTAGAGTTTACTTTATTATCAAACGTAATAAAAAAATAACAGTTGATATATATCGGGGCTAAAAATAAACGTTCGAGTTATATATAAGCAAATTTAAACCCAATTAAAATATATTTTATCGCGTCGTTTCTAAATTACAACAGTTAAAGTAAGCAATTCTCAAAGGGAACGAGTGGGAATAATTCAAGGGTTATTATTCAATGATATCCGTAAGGTCGTTATTGGAGTGTGTTTTTTTTAAAGTTACAACCGGCTTGTGTCGCCCAGCTTCCTTAGACAGGCGCCGACACGGGCAGAATTTAGTGCCAAGATACGGCGTGGGTGTAACCTAATGAATATATTTATTTGTGATGGCGCACTCGCCGACTTTTATCTGACACCAACGGGAGACAAGTCCCTATCTGGGAGTCGTAAGGTGCCTCCCTATTACTGAACAAGTTTTAGTAGGTTTGTCCCTATCAATTCGTTGTGATAAAACTGTTGGAAATTCTGAGTGGTTTTGTAACGTCTTCGGTACTCGAATTATCTCGATCTTTTTGTTAGTTAATACAACTGCAAATAACAGTCATTTTTAAATAATTAAGTTCTAATTTAAGGGAAAACGTAACCTAGTTTTGACGTTACAAAAAGTAGCAAACTGTAAATAATTTTGTAGTAGTTGTATATTACATAAGTAGTGAATCGCCGTGGTTTCGCCTGGGTGGGATCCATTAATGTGGGGTTTTTAGGTTTAAAATAATGTAAACCCTTTATTTATTATTTTTTATTGTTTAAATTATATTTTGTTATATATCGAAGTTTTCGGATATAATATAATCAATATCACTCCTGTCCTTGCTCTCTATCTGTAAGTGAAGTTTCATTACAATCAATTCAGCCATTTAGAAGATTAGACACAGATGCAGGTGGCTCAGGACCGTGCTTTGTGGCATTCCTTG